GCAGGCAGAAGAAAATTGTTATCTATATATATATATGCCTAAGCGACCATTATGACCGAACAACCAAAACGACCGGTCGGCCAGTCGTTATGACATGCACTGACCACCAGAGGGCAGACACTCAATGCAGGAGCTGCCTCCTGGTGATCAGTGCGCTCCAACAGCCAACCTCCCGTGGCCCCTCCTCCCCGCTCCTCCACCAAACTCCTGCAGCCCCTCTCCCCTCCCCTGGCTGGGCCCCCCATCAGCCCCAATCAAGGGGCTGGCTGGCCAACCTCTCGGGGTCTCTCCCCCACAGCTGGCCAGCCCCCTGATAGGCCTCAATCACTGGCCAGGCCTAGGGACCTCACCATGCACGAATTTGTGCACCGGGTTTCTAGTAAAAGATAAGGGTCAAGATGTAGACCCTCATCTCTGACTTCCTAGAGAACCACTTCCTGGATGAGGACGTGAAATTGATCAAAAGATGTGAGACCACCTGACTAACATCCACAGGCTGGCTCACCCTCAAGCACGACTAGGAGCCTTTGGAGCTCAGAGGCCTTTCAGAGGCCCCTCTGCATCCCCTGGTGTCTCTGGCTTTTTCCTAAGCCTCTTCCCAAAACTACTAGTCATTCTTTTAACCACCCTGGAGCCCTCTCCCATGCATTGAATCAAATGAAACAATAAAGCTTTTTACAGCAAAAAAGAAAGAGGGAAGGAAGGGGAGGGAAGGAGGGAGGGTGGGAGGGAGGAAAGAAAAGAAAGGAAGAAAGGAAGGAAGAAGATAAGGGTCAAAATTTTTGCTGATAATCAAATCTGTTTTTTAAAACCCTGTATTACATTTTCAATATAGAATTCAGGATTTTGGTTTCTGAATGTAAACAAAAGCCCTCTAAAGATCACAAATATATATAATTGTAGAAACTAGGTCTATGTATGTGAAGAGGTGCACACACATGAGGATGTATACACAGTAAAATATAAGGATGTGATGGGATTTCCAGCAGACTATACTTTTCTCTTTATAATAATCTCCATATTAAATATTGCTCTAGTATGCAAGAAATTAGGAACGCCTCCCCTACCTCCTTTAGCTTGCTTCTTCATTTGCAACAAAATAGAAATTGCAGAACACTAAGAGATAAATGCTAGTCAAGGGTTTTGCTCACTTTCCTTTTAGTCCCTATTAAATAATATCAAGTATTACCCAGGCATTACTTGCACTGCTTCACAAAAGGCAGAATTCTTTAACTGTCTGGATAGTACGAGGGCTGACCAGGCATGAAGCCACTGCAGAATTTTTACCTGCAGCCTACAACCATGCCTTTGCAGAAACATCTGGGCAACTGTTTAAGTGGGGTGGGGAATAGGACATCCTGCCACTTATATCATTTCCCCAGGGCAGAAATATCGGGCTTATAACACTAATTTTGCTCAAATAAGAGAGGAGTAATAGGCTTCTCTCTAACTTCTACAAAAACAGAAAGAGCAAGAGCAATTTCTAAAGAAATTGACTTTAAAGATTATTTACAGACACGGAGAATTCTTTGTTGTAACCTATCTTCTAGGAAGGGGTACAAAGATTCTATGTATTGCTTTAAAAAAAAGATAAAAACCATAGCCTGTTAAAATGAGTGTACAACTACTTCCCAAGAGAAGGAAGGTCTCTTGGTGTTAGGAGTATTAAGCATGAAATTCTCCTGAGGCTTTTTCATAACAAATATTTATTACTTTATAATCAGAAAACAATAAAGCTACTCTTATATTTTTAAAATTAGAACATTTACATTCACAAATGAAAAATTATAATTTTCTGAAACATTAATGGAGATAACACAAATGTTTCTATTCAGCACCACTCAAAAAATAAAAGTACAAAAAATAAAGGAAAATGTTAAGAACTTGTATAGGAATCTAATTTCCTTTATTTGTAGCTTCAAATTTTCTCAAGAGGAAGAATAATTTCTAACAACTTAGATGCTCCTTCACCAGTCTTGGCATGTAGTAGATCAATAAATATTTGCTGAGTGATTAAATTTAACATTAAATATATTGCCTAAATTTTATTTTTATGCCAAAGATATTCTCCCAAGAACCTTTTTTTCTTTATTAAGGTATTACATATGTGTCTTTATCCCCCCATCCCCCCAACTCATGCCCTCACCTCCCTGGTGTCTGTGTCCATTGGTTAAGCTTATATGCATGCGTACAAGTCCTTTGGTTGATCTTTCCCCCTCACCCTCACCCTCCCCTACCTTCCCTTTGAGGTTTGATGGTCTGATTGATGCTTCTCTGTCTCTAGATCTGTTTTTGTTCAACAGATTATGTTGTTCATTATATTCCATAAATGATTGAGATCATGTGATATTTATCTTTCTCTGACTGACTTATTTCACTTAGCATAATGCTCTCGAGTTCCATCCATGCTGTTGCAAATGGTAAGAATTCCTTCTTTTTTACTGCAGCGTAGTATTCCATTGTGTAGATGTACCACAGTTTTTTAATCCACTCATCTGCTGATGAGCACTTAGGCTGTTTCCAAATCTTAGCTCTAGTGAATTGTGCTGCTATGAATATAGGAGTGCATATATCCTTTCTAATTGGTGTTTCTAGTCTCTTGGGATATATTCCTAGAAGTGGGATCACTGGGTCAAATGGGAGTTCCAATTTTAGTTTTTTGAGGAAACTCCATACTGTTCTCCACAGTGGCTGCACCAGTCTGCATTCCCACCAGCAGTGCACAAGGATTTCTTTTACTCCGCATCCTCACCAGCACTTGTCATTTGTTGATTTATTGATGATAACCATTCTGACAGGTGTGAGGTGGTACTGCATGGTCGTTTTTATTTGCATCTCTCAGATGATTAGTGACTTTGAGCATATTTTCATGTCTCTTGGCCTTCTTTCTGTCTTCTTTCGAAAAGGATTCATTTACGTCCATTGCCCACTTTTTCATTGGGTTGTTTAT